TAAGACTTTATTAAAGATTTAATGATGACATTGTTCAAATTAACCTCTTGTTAATTTTTTTTCTAGACATCAGTCACTTTGGTAAACTAGATCTTCACACCCCATTCCATTTTTACAGCCCTTGAGGCTTGCAAGTCAGTTGTGCTAATGCTAATGTGTCTTTACAGTTGCAGACACAGTGTCTGTTTTGGCATTTAAAATATAGACTTGGAGCACATCTGGGTTTTAGACTCAATGCAAAGTGGCATTTGCTATTCAAACATTAGCTATTTTTCCCCCCTAGCTGCAACTGTTGTCAGCTCATTCTCCATTACCAGAAAACAATCATGCCAGTGATTCCTGACAGTTCTTGCCATCTTTATTGGATTGATATTTGATCCAACAGAATTGATCTCATCCCTAAAACCTAACCATTAAAATTCTGCTCAAAAGCTCTCTCACATAACTATTAAAACCCTGCACTTTTTAAGAGGAAGGATCAATTCAGTTTTACCCAATCCAAATGACTGCTGTTGCCTTCTTGGAGTTTTCATTTTGATATTTAACCCAAACTCATGGGAAAAAGTGACTTATAACCATTTTTCACACTTACAACTGTTGCAGCATCCCCACAGTCATGAGAGGCCAGGCGAGGAGATGCATGGCTCAATGTGAGTGATATTGAGTTGGCCACGCCCAGCCAATAACATGTTCACCCAGTCACATGACCACCAAGTCACGCCCACCAACTAAGCCACGCCCACAGAACCGGTTGTTAAAAAAATTGAATCCCACCCCTGATCTCACCTCTCTCTTTTGCAGAATCTCATCCATTTCATCCAACTATGACTTCCTCAGTCTTCCCCTTCTTCTTGACTCATTTACTTTTTTTGCTTTCCTTTATTTTGCACTCAGGCTCTCAATATGACCCAATTAGTTCAACAAACTTCTTTTGTATTGGTCAGAGTAGTTAAGATGGTGGGCTTGTCAGCTGGAAAGTCAGCAGCCCAGAGGTGGTATTCAGCAGGTTCTGTCCAGTTCTGCAGAACCGGTAGCGGAAATTTTGAGTAGTTCGGAGAACCGGCAAATACCACCTCTGACTGGAGATTTTGCAGTATCCTTTTCCTGCCATGCCAAGCCACACCCACAGAGCCAGTAGTAAAAAAGTTTTGAATCCCACCATTGCAGCAGCCCACGTTTGAGACCTGAATGCCACATGATGGGGCGAGCTCCCATCCTCACCTCAGCTCCTATCAACCTAGCAGTTTGAGAGCATGTAAATACAAGTAGATAAATAGGTACCACTTCTGTGGGAAGGTAACAGCCTTCTGCAACATCATTCTGGCCACATGACTGTGGAAATGTCTTCAGACAGCATTGGCTCATTGATCTTGAAACGGTGATAAACTCTGCCCCAATAGTCAGCACTGACTAGTGGAGTAAAATCCATAGGGATTCTTTTATTTTTTTGCTCATCATCCATTCATTCTTGATTATCTTTTTTTGCTTTACCATAAACACTTTTTAAGTACTCAATTTCCACGTTCATCCAACCTATTTCTATTTTTCTCCTGACATTTACTTCCTTTTAACAAAATGGTTAAATTCAGGACACTTCTGCACACAATAATTATGGCTTCTTTCGATGGAATAGCTATTATCCATTATCTTTCCACCAGCATTCTACAACTTCAAATTTCTCCAACCATTTTCTCATCTTCAGTAAACATTCTATCAAGAATTTACCTACTCCCTCTAGCCAACTTGCAATAATTTGTTCAATTTTTACTGCAAAAAACAACCACTTTGGTTGATGATATGCCATACTCCTTGTTGCATCATACAGACTCTCTAACATTCCTTGCAAAAAAAAAAAGGTTTAGATTTTCAGGGCCATGTACAGCATTTTACTTTCCATTTCTATCACTTTACAATGGATCTGGACAGAGTTGCTTCCACATTTACAACTTCAACAAATACCCTATATTTAATTCAGTCTTTCACTATGTTGTCCAATTGGAACTAAGACCTTTTGGGGAGGGGGGGTCTATTTCTCCATCTTGTATAAGGTCTTCCAAACAGGCTTGTGTAATTATAGATCCACTATCCTGTCACTTTTTGTGTCCACTTATTGTCAGATAAATATAAAGGTGCCTTGCCCTTTTATACAGTATTTCCATTTTTAATGCTGTTTTTATGACATCTTTGAAATGGTTGTTAAATTTCTTCATTTCCAATTCTATTTCTAAGAGAAATTTTTAGCATTTATCTTTCCATTGTGCATGATGTGACTCCAAACATTTCTACATCTGATTTCTGTCAGTTCCGCGCGTCACATCCATAGGTTTTTGCATCAAAGGTCAAGGTGTGGAAAGTATTTGCTCTTGTCTTGGGGTTTCCCATCTCCTGGGGAAATGTTTTTATGTCATTAAAGCTGAGCTGAGTTGAGCTGAGCTACTTTTCTCCTTCATGATACTTCTTGGTCAATTTTGTATGAAATATTGATTTTCTGACCAAGCTAGATGAAAGAATTCACATCTTCTATTGGCTCATTTCCAAGCTCCATTTTCTGGTATTGGCAAAATCAGTTGCACATATATTGAGTTTTGTTTCTATTGATCTTTAAGCTAACTGCATTACTTGCTTCATTGAGCTTGTTTAAACAGTTTTCATCTTCTTTGATGTTGTGATTGATCATCTCAGTGTCATTGGCAAATCAGAGGTGAGTGAACTTTCCATGATTTGTATTAATGCCTCTTTCTCCCCAATTAACTTCTTCAAGAGCTGCTGTGGGTTCACTACCCTTATATTCAGCAATCTTCAGTGTAGGGCAAACTGTTCCAAAATTCAACATATTCACCATGTATTGAAACATTGAGGATTAGAGTAAAAGTTGAACGTCAAGTACAGTGGAATGGAATGGAATGGAGGTGAGTGGAGTGGATTGGTTGTCCTTTTTAGTTTAACATATTTTTAATGGGATGCTAAGAAAAAGGGGCTTAAAGATGTTAATGTATTATTAAACAATTTATCAAAAGATCTGGAATTAAACAATTGATGAAAACTCTGGATTTACCACACACGGAGAGTAGTTAAAGAGTGGTCTGTTAGAAATATTTTGCCAGACACCAGACCTAATTTAAACTCTTGAATTTTCAAGATGGGTTCACTAGCCACCTCTGACCTTTCTTCCTACCAATGTGAAAAAAGACTAATGTTATTCTGTGTGCTTGAGATTTTTATAAGATACATGCGTGTGTTCTGTCCCACCTGTATCCACAGATGAAACTTCAAGTTATATAGTTCAAACACTTTACAAAACCAGAGACAGGAGATTCAGTTGCTCTGTTATCACAGTCCTTTGGCAATCCTCCTAGAATCTGTCCGGCAATTCTGTATAGTTCGTAAATCACAACGCAGTAATCAGACGCAATTCTTTCCAAGGCAAAACTCACTTTGTTTCCAGCAAATATTACAAACTCGTACGCTCCCTTATATCCTCTAAGAGAGGGCGTGTCAGTCTCATTAATTAATCCTTTGCTGGACGTCTCTTTTCTAATTGAGATTGACGTCTCAATCTTCTCCTAGTTCTGGCATCCAGCCAGCATCCGGCAGTTTCATCTCCGCTTGAAACCTCCGACACACTTTCCTGATTAACAGTTAACACCTGAAGTTTAATTAGGGAAGTTGGTTCAGGGGAGAGAGTGGCCTCTGAATCCTCCAATAAATCAGGTTCATCTCTCAAATCCAACTCCTCTCCCTCTACTTGACTCCCCTCTAAGTCACTTAATAATGCAGGCTCGAATCTCAGTGCCAGATCTTCTTCCTCGCTCGAACCCACATCTGCTGATTGATCAGGTTCAAGTCTCGGAGTCACAACATACGTGTATACATGTTTGTGGGTGTGTCCTCTTTTTTGGACATCTGTTTCTCTCTCTCTTTTTTATACTGTTTTAAGTTAGTTTTGTTCATCTATCTAATAAAGCAATAAAGATAACATATAAATAAACCTATTTATTTCTTTATATATTTTTACTGGATCAAAAATTGTGCAATAGTCTTCCTCACATTCATCTGTTCCTCAGTGATCGGCTGAAGAGCAAACATCTGGCTTACATACTTCCTACTCAGCATGAGGTCACACTGTGCTGGTCAAATGTTGTTCATCTTGTACCCTGTTTTTCAGAATTCTAAAAAACATTTTCACAGGCACATTTAATGCATCCATCCATTCTGCAGAATAGTTTCTGTAGTCTTGCTGCATTTGTATGTGTGTGTGTGTGTGTGTGTAGCAGAACGATAACAACATTCTCTAGGTCAATATTTTCCAACCTTAGCCATTTTAAGATGTGTCGTCTTAGGAAAAACTATTGTAGGGGCTGATTTAGAAACCAGGAGGTTGTGAGTTCGAGGCCTCACTTGGGCATGAAAGCTAGTTGGTGAAAGCCATTCACTCTTCCATCCCCAGTTCCTGTCGGCAAACTATTATTCAGTAATAAAAATCAAAAGCTTCTTTTGAGGGCACAATGTACCGGGATGAGACAAAAAAAAACCTAAGCAGTAACTGGTGAATTCCTAATGTTCTTTCCAGCTTTTTGCCCCTCTGTGTGAGCAGCCAAAACAGACTGCTTGTATCCGAATGCAACCACACATACAAGCCAACATTTAAGTCTAGAAAGACAACCCTTTTCTTGATGGAACATTTGACTTAGTTGGTCAGACATTTCCAGTTCTGCTGCAACAACAGCACTATGTGACTATTCTTGAAGGGTATGCGCACAACCACAGCATCATGCAAACTGGGGCAGAAAGGAGCATGGTGAAAAGATAATTTCTTGCACACAGCTGTGCTTCACGCCTGGGTTCAGGAATTCCCTATCTACGCTGTAATTTGAACAGCCCTTGTGACTCCACCCCTTCTATACATTAATAGCAGTTCCTCAGTCCAAGCCAGCCCCGTCATCTGATGGATCCCAACAGGTGTACCCTCCATGGTCTGCTTGTCTTCCCCCAGCCCCCAACCTCCTCCCCTCTGGGATAACAGGGCTGGCATTTGAACATGCTTAGCTACGACAAGCCTTTTGGGAGACGCTTCTAGCAACTCTCGGTACTCCTTGCCAGAGGAGCAAAAGCAGCACCTAGACCCTCTTTCTACCCTACATTTTCCAGTCATGACCGAAGGCAAGGCTCTCAAAGTCCAGGTGACCTTCGCTATTATTCTGATAGGGGTTGCCTTGATGTTCACAGCAGTGGTGACCGATCATTGGGCTGTGCTGAATCCTAAGGTGGAGGAATACAACACTACCTGTGAGACAGCTCACTTTGGGCTATGGAGGCTTTGCATCAAACGGATCTACATTGAAGAAAACAACATGGAGAAGGAACAAGGTTGCGGGCCCATAAGCCTGCCAGGAGGTATGTTGGTTGGTCTGATCCCTAAGCACCATGGCAGCCTTGCTTTAGGGCCATAACTTCTGCTTTCAGGTTAACCCTCTGGGCTATTTGTTCTCCCTTCTTTGAGGTTCTCTCTCTTGGCATAAATTATACGGTTACTTCCTACTACAGGCATGAATTTTCCAGGCTACTTCCTGATGGTTTTGTCGAGGAAGGAAAATGCATTAAAATAAAACTGGAGAGAATGGGCAGTCACAGACCTAATAGTCATTCCTAAGAGGTCTGTAAAGGGCATGCATAAGCGCACCAACGTGCCTACCGTCCCTGTCTTAATGTTCCCTTTTATTCGTATCTATTTCATGTATTAATAATCATGTTTATACATATATACATATATACATATATACATATATACATATATACATATATACATATACATATACATATACATATACATATACATATACATATA